CTGTCCCAAAAATAAATGTTTTTATGTTTTTACTTGTATTCTAGCAATTTACCATCTTACTCTTTCATGTACCTGAATCATATTTTTCCCTGATACTTTTAAACATTGCAGACTGTTTAAGCTCTGGAAGGGGACTATACTTCTGCTAGACACGTGCTTTCCATCTGAAGGTGCTAAATGAAGGACAGGAATGAAGTGAACATAGATGTGAACCGTATTTCCCAGTGTTTCACAGAATAGTCAACTAGTTTGCTGCAGAGACAGCAGCAAAAGACAAGTGGCATGGCTATTTTATACTTTATGCCCACTCTTTGAATGCTGCCCCACAAAACTCTGGCTTATTCCCATATTTCCTCACAGAGGTTTCACTATTTCCCTAGTAACAGCTCATTTCAAGAACAGACTTTGAAGTCTGTGAGTGTCTTAAACCGTTGTCGCCACATTATATTCAAATATCCCAGAGAGACTGGAGGAAGTACTCAATAGGAAAAAACATGGTATTCTCTGGCTTACTATTGTTATGCACATAAGGCAGGAAAAGGGCCTGCCATAAACGATCATTAATGGAATACAGTGCATCATTCAGCTTTCTGCAACTAGCTTTACCGAAGACGAGGAGTGATGTCCCCCACTCACACAGAGTAGAACTGCTCTTTCTAATAAACTGCAGTACTTGATGACATGAGATCAACCAGTTAATTATAGTAAATGTAAAACAAGCTTGATTAATTTTTAGTGAAGGGACAAGAAACTGCTAGTTTGAAATACAACTTTATTTTTTTTAATCAATATGCAATCTACAAAATGTTATTACAAGATTATCAGCATGATCTGTTTATCTTTATACTGACAAAAGACCCAAATAAAATTATATTTTCCATTAAGAATAACAGCACTGCTTCAGAGCTATCAAAATTATAGCTAAGAATTACCATCTGCAGCAGTTAGTTAGTGTGTTTAGTCAACAAAAAGACAAAATAGAGGTGTGGACACCAGTATTGCAGCTAAGAAGTCTGTCAAGTAAAATAAATGCAACTAAAAGCAACACGTGAACACACACTTTCACATGTAAAGTACTTTTGGACAATTAGTATGGAATTTGGCAAAAAAAAAGCAAGGAGATGACAGCGGCTTGGCGTCAGGTTCAATGGAGTGCACCATCATCCTCATTCCTCGAGAGCTGCCACGCAGCAGCAGCTGGACCATCGTTCTCAATCATCGCAAAGCTTCAGCTTTGACACCCAGTAACACCTCTTTTCCTCGCCATTGTGCTCTCTTCTGGTTGGAATAAGCAAGCGTTGCAGGTTGCTTACTTACTAGCGTCAAGAATCTTCTACAGTGTTTTTTTTCTCCCTATTACCACTATCCCTTTCTTCTTTTTTTTTTGACTCTTCTTTATTCTTAGACACTTTGATGCAGATCCCATTTTGTCAGTTAAAAGACTTCCATTGACTTCAATGGGTGTTTGAATCCAAAATTACATCAAGTACCAACTACCTACAGTAATAGAATTAGTATGAGAAAGATGAACACAAAGATAAAGTTTGTCAGTTTCAGCAAATGCGACACTTTCTAAGTAAAGCAAATACTACAAAAATAGCTGTTCTCATTGATTTCTGTTTAAAATATCCCAAACCCTGCTATTTTTTTGTGAAGGAAACACAGATCATATCTAAATACTTCACTGGAGTAAATGTTAGCTAAGCGTCAGCATCTTAAGTGACCCAAACAGCTGGAAGCCTTTCAGTGACTGCAGGCACTGGCTGTGGGCAAGCAGAGCCCAGATATGTGTGAAACCTGGTTCCTCACACGATACCAGTGTACCTCATGGGCTATTTAAAGCTCCAGTCCTTCTGCTAGCTGGACACTGAGCATCACAACAGCTTACAGCAACTGTTCCTTGCCTCCACTCCCCTCCCAAAATACAGTTAGGCTACTTGCAGCCCAGATCTTTGAAGAATCAAACCCAGTATGTTTACTTGCTATCACCTGTTGTAGCCTTTACAGAAAATGTTGGCAAATGAGTCTTAAACATTGAGAATATTTGTTCAGTAGGTTATCCTCAAAGGACATCAGACAATGTAGAACAAATATTAGAAAGGCGAAGCCAGGGTGTTTCTGCTTCGGCATGTTGCAATAGAATAGGACGTTAGAATTCGATGGGGGGAAAAAAAGTCAGACAACCCAAACTTTCTTTCATTAAACTGCAGCCTGTTTTTAAGTATTCTAACAGCAAGGCATACAAACACCAGTTTGAGACTGAACAGGGTAATTATTCATCCTTAGGCTGCACTAATTGTCAGGTTTAAACTGAAATCCATGCATTGAACAGAGTAACTTTCTTTCAGCATGGCAATATTTCTGTGGAATGAATTCCCTGTGATCCTGATCCAATTCCGATTAAAGTTAATGGCAAGTCTTGCAGGCCTCAGATGGAAATCCAAGAGTCTGCAACATAAATAAAGCTGTAGCTTGACCTTTTTTTGTTAACAAGTTCAGTAAGGCTGAACGATCATTTGCACCATACCAGATATAATGCAGACTCACTAGCAGGAAAGACAACTTGTAATGTGGCTGTTCGTCACTTCATTGACTTCACTGGCCATTCAGAACAACAGCTCATATCTTGGGGGGTCAATGGTAAATGGGCTGCTTCAGAACATCCCGAGATACAGCAGACACCCGACAGAAGAAAAGCAGGCGTTGCTTCCGCAGGACCTGTAACACCACCAGGTACCGAATGCCCAGGAGGTGAGTGCTGCGAAGGGGGATCCTAAGGCGAAAGAGGTCCCAGACAGCCTGGCTGTCCCCTTAAAAACAGAAAAATAGGGGCCAGCTGGACAAGACAAGGTTTTGCACAATAACTGCTGCTAAGAGATCTACAGAATTAATGTCAATCAAAACAAGTCAGCCTCAGACAAAGGTTAGTGCAACACGTATTTTGCTTCTGCTACCTTACCGAGCAAAGAGGTTAATAGATGTGGCAGCTCTAGTATAACCAGGGACTTCAGCGAACTGCAGAGCTCTGCCATGATGGTAAGTACAAATGCTTTGCCTTAGCGTACACTGTGCCCCTTAGTTCAGCTGAGAAGTTCATAAACCAAAATTTAATTGAATAAAACAAACCAAACATGACTTCAAGGTGCTAATGGCTTCTCAAGTCAAAACACGGATGGTGAATGCAACAGCTGAGACATATTTGGATCACTACTACACTCAAATGCTTGCTTAGATTTATAATAATATAATCTGCTAATAAAAAGGAATATATAGAGAAGCCAGAATACTGTAATAGTCTATTTGGGGCTTTGGCAATGCAATACCCATAAAAAACCTGCCCTCAGGACTTACTATACAATCTATTACCCATTTCATTCTCAGCTTCCAAATGGGGGGAAAAGTTTATTGTGATGAACTAGGTTCATATTATGGCCTTCTGTTTCCTCAGACTGGTAATTTTCTCAGTGCATATCCCACATATTTCTAATTTGGGGGAATAACATTTTATCTATATTTTTACACAGTGTTTATATAAATAGTTACAAGCTGTGACAAAATATAAAGTGAGACTTAGTGCATTACTATATTTTTGTTCTCCGCTAATTTCACTCTGAAGTAAGGATAATTTTAGGAAAACTGCAGGAGAAGGGGAAAAAAAAAAAGTATCAGTAGCATTTTTTTAATTTATCAGATTTTTTCTGACCTGGTATTACATCCTGCAGAAAACAACAAAGGGGATAATGGCTGAGGGGAAGCATTAAAACCTTTCCCTAAATGCCAGTAATTTGTCAAAAACACAGTTAACACATTGACACGGGATTAGTAGCTCAAGCTGCCTGCTGAAGCATCACAGCTTCGCTTCTCTTGTGGGAGTCCGTTCCTGCATTGTCTCCCCACAGCAGGCGCCTTTAGAGCCAGCAGCATGAAAACACCTCCCGTCCCATGCATGGAAAGACTGCCTTAAAAGTTACGCAAAGCAACAGCTCCTGCAGTTTCCAAACCAATATCTGGAACTTGTATCCTAAAGCAGACCCAGAGCAAATGGCAGTAACCAGCCATTTCTTCAGTTTCTGGGGAAAACCCTCCGCTGGTGTTAATTCTCAAAGCTTCATCAAATGAAATGGGCCTGGACTGGTTTACACTGGGGAAAACCCTCCACTGGTGTAAATTCTCAAAGCTTCATAAAATGAAATGGGCCTGGACTGATTTACGCTTGCTGAGGATCCGCCCCTTGTCTCACTTGCTGCAGTCATGAAAAAGATTTGTCTCATGCTGGCACAGAAGTTTCAACCACATCTGCCATATGGTTTTTGCCCGAGAGATTACTTTGAGTGAACCTATAAAGTGCTGCGGAGGAAACGCTCGCAGCCAGAGAAAAATGAAGAATATTATTGCAGAGGAACTTTTCGCATTTTACCAATGAAATCACCCAGTTTCCAACTCATTAACTGAGGCTCTTGTCAAGAATAGTATTACAATTTGTTCTGTTCACATATATCGAGGGGAGCAGAAATACGGGGGACTTCAGTTTTCAAACACTACTAAAAAAAAATGTAATTGGTCCTGCTGGACCTTACACAGATGCTGGTCTGCACATAAGCGCTCTGGCAGTTTTTATTGCTGAATATTATATGTCCAAGTGACACAAACTATTTGAGTAGTGCCATTAGGTTTCAATACGGAGCATGAGATCATTCCCAAGTCATAGATACGCAACAGGAAAAGAATACATTACAATCAGTCAATGAAGTGCTCACCTCCTGCAACTCTTTACAAGGAGACCTTACTCATACCGGTATTCCCATGACAGGAAGTTTACTTGAACGCAAACCAGCCAAACCAGTACTGATTTGCAGAATCAAACCCAAAAGCACTAAAAAGAAGAAAATTCAATGACCGTGTTTACCCTAAACTAGGTCACTGCCGTTTCTTCTAACAATAGAATTTCCTGTATAAATTGATTCCTACTAATATCCTGTGAAAGTGCCTCCCATCCTCTTTCACTGCATTAGGCAGTTGCCAGCCTTATCTGGATCTTCTCCATCAAGCTGAATCCACTTCTTTTCAATTTCAATCTGCATTTAGAAAACAAAAAAACAAAAAAACAGGTAGAATTAGCAAATAATTGGGCATAATTGGGCACTGAAAGTGTGAACTGCAGCAACAAAAGCTTTGACACAGAATCAAAACATTACCAGACCCAACAGATTTCAAAACCACTACTCCCAAAAATAGCTCAGCTGAGGAGAAACAACGCTGCATTTGCAGTTCTGTTTTTCAGCATGATCGTTGATCAGACAAGGAATTATTTTTTAATGATTCTTCTGCTCAAAGTCCTAGCACAAATGCATGCAAGATATGTTTAGAATACAAAGCACATTCACCTTGCAATTACCAGACCCAACAGATTTCAAAACCACTACTCCCAAAAATAGCTCAGCTGAGGAGAAACAACGCTGCATTTGCAGTTCTGTTTTTCAGCATGATCGTTGATCAGACAAGGAATTATTTTTTAATGATTCTTCTGCTCAAAGTCCTAGCACAAATGCATGCAAGATATGTTTAGAATACAAAGCACATTCACCTTGCAAATACTGTATGGGGGAGTGGGGAGGAAGAAGAGGAGGAAAACACTGAAAATACAGCCCTGTAAATACCTGGCAATTGTAAAAAGCTTTCTGAACCACGTGTTTCTGGGGCTGCACATCGTTCTCTATGCCCAGCGACCTGACTTCTGTTCCTGAGGCACAGGTATCATGAACAACGAACTGGACAGTAGCAAATGGATACCAGTCAGACGGGATTTCCTGGTCTGATCCGAGTTCCAGCTTGTAAGACAGGCTGTGTGGATGATCTGAACCTTGGAAAAGAAAAAAATCCCCAAACATCATTAGTTAATTAACTTTTCTTTGTTTACAGTGCAAGATTAAGCTGCTAAAGAGAGCACAGCTCTATCTTGTATTAATGCAGAGCTGTTACTATGACACAAGATTATTCTACCTAGAATCTCCTACTACTTGGGCATAAGGCATTCCCTTACCCATTTTTTATGTGTTTCAGCATATTTTCACAATCATTGCAGTTTTACAAATTAATTTGCATAAGATTTACCAGATCCTCCCAGCTCCTGATTGAGAGAAGAGTATTACAAACTTAGGGACCGGTTGCTAAATTCAGACTGTTAGGGAAGAATATCAGTTTTCACTGAAAGATACATTTCTTATTCTTGTAGGAAAATAAAAATTGGAAGACCCCAGCTTAGCCAAGGCAGAAATTCCTCCCTGTGTCCAACAACCACCCTTTCTAGAGCTCCCTGCTGTAGGAATTTTACTGGAGTGTTTATTTCAAGTACTACAGCTATCTTGCGTAACATCATTTATTACAGCATGTAATAATTACAGACAAAGGCGCAGCTCAGAGTGCTGCTTAAACAAAATACATTCCAGCTGCCAGGATGAGAGCTACCTGGACTCCCTTTCTAACTTGGTTTGTTACAGGAAAAGAACATACCCCAATTCTTCCAAACAGAAGTATTACTAAAGTAACTGTCACATTACAAAGCAGAGTCCTGAAGGACTGCTGATGTACAGCAGCATATCCTAAATCACTTTAATCCAGCCTTAGATCCTAGGCGTTGCTTGCTTGGGAAAGCATTTCTCCTTCTCCTAGCACCCAGGAACAACAGGGTGAAAAGCCTGCTTTCCAAAGAAACCGAGGTCAGCGGGCTCACTATGTGCACGAAAGCAGTATAATATAATGTAATGAAAAGAATAATTGATGTCACAGCTGCCTCTCCAAATTCTTCAAGGCAAAAAGCAGTAATTCTCCATTTTGCCTCCTCTCCACAACTTTAAGCATCAGCATAGACAACTAACTACCATTCAGCTGCAGGTTAGAAAAAAAAACAAAAACAAAACACCAACCAGAAAAAGGACTGGCCATATTTTGTCAAAGGCAAGCCTGGCAGTGTGTATTTGGTTTTCATCCATTATACTGAACAGCATCGCAAAGTTCAGGCCAAAATATCCCATTCTTTATGCACTCATTTTCCCTGGTGGCAGGAATCAATTTCATATAAGAATGAAGGAAATACTGAAAATGGAGTTAACATACACTGAGCTTTATCCATCCTGTGGGAAAAATCGCTATAACACTCCACATCCACAGGCTCATGGGCATTTCATAAGGCAAAAATAGATAAAAAAAGCTACACCCCCATTGCTCCTGGGAGCCTCGGGCTGGCTGCATCCTCTGGTCTCTGCTGCAGAGTTTCCCTGCAACCTGCCCCACAGCCTGCCCAAGACAGTTCTGATCTCAGGACATAGTTTACATCTAAGCAGTTTGATGAGCCAAACACACGCATCTCCGACTTCACCAGAACAAAGCCGAATTCAATAAGCCGCCCTCCAGACTGCATTCCAAGCCCAGCACAGAGTCAATGGGTCCCCAAAAATCAAGGCTTAAAGAGCATGAAATTCATGCTTCTCTTCATCATACTCACTAAAACATTTTGTTTTCCTTTTGACTAATTATGTAATTAGTATCACTAATAACTCCCTCCCCTTGCCTTGTTGTTATACTCAACAGCACAGTTAAATCTTGACTGCCTGGAAGAAAAGGTGAGGGAAGGGGAGAACGGAATAGGAAGTGTCCTTTGCATTACCAGCCCTCAAACTTCAGATGGGGGATGTCCTGACTCTTTTTCTCCCCCTTCTTTTTGCCACGTTTAATAACAACAGCAATAATCAGGAGCTAAAAAAGCTGTTAGCTGACTGCAGGTGTTTCCCTCTCTGTTCAGTTCACCCCAGAGGCGCGCACACAGAAACACAGCAGCATTTACAGCCACCGCTTCTTCGGACAAGGGGCACGTCACTGGACAAGCGCATTCCTTCACCATCTGGACTCTCTTCATGGCTGATTTACAAGCATCCCCCGCAGGCTTGCTTCCAGCAGTACATCGCATTCGATACTTCTCCTAAATGCTGCTTTTTTGCATAAATACTTGTCATGTTCAGAGAAAACCTGCACTGGATTTCAGAAAATAACGCTACATACACACCAGCTAGAGTCCTGCACCGTGGAAGAGTGTCAGCCACTGGCCATGAAGTCTCCCAGGCATCCTTGAAGAAATGTGTATCACAATGGAGAAGCTGCAACCACTGCCCACGTGCTGCTTCTTCCTACCAAAGCACACTCTAATACATGTGCATAAGGAACTGGTTGTAGAAATCGTAGGAAGAGGGAATACAACTTGCGTTCATAAATGCAAGGGCAGATCCATAAAAGGCACTGGTAGGGATCAATGCAACAAAAAATGTGTAAGTCCTGAGTTTTGGGAATGAAGCTCCCCTAAATATGTCCAGTGCAATACAATCTTTAAGGTGAGTGGGGAGAAGCAGGTGCTCAGCAATGGCCATCGCCACAGCCAGCACAGAGGGACAGAAACCAAACTGAGCAGGACAGGCTGGAGAGATCGGATGGAAAAACTTCACCCCTCCTTGCGGACTTCGCAACCCACCTGCCGCACCAGTCAAGGCACAACACTTTACAACCCACACACACGCTTAAAAAATGACAGCCACCACCCAAACCACGGCCCATGACCAAAAGCAGCAGCACTGTCACCTGCTTTCTACGTAATAGACTACAGCTTCATTCACTTAGCGCATGATACGGGCTCAGAGCAGCAAGGCTGGTACGGGGGTGGAGTAGGGGGTACTGACTGCGATTTGTGCTAACTCGGTGCTCCTAGTGTGTGCGAGACACTACTCGCACCTCGGAGCACACTACAGGACATGGTCCTTCAAGGCACCAAAGCACAAAGTTTGCAAGCTCTTAAAGGTCTTAGGCTAAGGAGCGCAATGCCAGGGGCACGCAGTGGGTGGCTAAAGTCTCAGGACAGTAATACAATACACAGAGACCGGGGAAACTATAACATTAGGGACTTTATTACTGAAATAGAGGGGGGAACAAAGTCAGAAACGAATATTACAACCACCTGCCAGCTCCTTGAGAAGGAAGTTGGATAGGGACTAAACAAGTGTGAGGTGGAGATGGTGCTTCATCACTTGCTGCACACAGGGACAGGCAGATCTGTATACCTCTCTGATGTGCGCCTTGTCCACGATCTGCTGCTGGTCAGCCCGTGCTGCGTCCAAGCCCATTTCTCCTGCACTTACACTCTCTTGGTCCACGGTCCCTCTTCCAGACAGCCTGGACATGGTGGAGTGAGTGCCCTGTTGCAGTGGGCCTCTTCATCCTTAAATCTGCCATTGTCCCAGCAACACTTGAGGTGACAGCAACACCAGCAGTGAAGGAAACCAGAAGCAGCACCCCATTCCACAGCCAAACTGTGAGACATCATCCCATCTGTGGTACCACAACTGACACAAGCTGTGATCCTCTTAGCTCCCAGGACATGCTCCACTCTCCAGTGGTGGTGCTGGGATGCAGCCTGGCAACACACTTACTTGACCGGGTCTTTGTCCTTTTTGCTGGGTTGGGATGCACAGACTGCATGTCAGTGACAAGTGAAGGGTCCTTCACAGCAGCAGTTGCAACAATAAGATGGCACATCATGCCCTGGCCAGAAAAGTGGCACGCTCTGCCTCTGGGGCTATGATTGACCAAGCATCTGAGGAGAAAGGGTTTGTCCAAGAGCAGTAGCATCTTGTTTGGAGTCCATTTGTGGTAGTAGGAAAAGGGTGTAGATCTAAGGGCTTCTGGAGATCAAATTCAGCATCGTCCTGTTGTGGGAGGAAGGCCTACGGAGAAACAAGTAGCAATAGGAATTGTCTGGAAAATTATTCTGTCTTATAAGAAAGGGAATCCAGACATTAGCACTGCTTGGAATTTTCTTGGACAGGTATGGTAAATGTTGGATGGTAGACGTCCACTTGAACCCAGGCATAAATGGGCCATTCCTCTTGTCCTGCTGCTAAAGGATCCTGTGTTAGACTTGGCACAGTTGTCATTCAGTACCATATAACACTTAAAAAAACCTCTGAGCTTCTATTCCAGCTAACCCACACCCATGAGGTGGTTTTGGTGTTGGGATCTGATGAGTTCTGGAGTCCTTTCTTTTCCCTACGTGGTAACCTGCAAAGGCAGAGATGATAGTTTTGGGATCTGGGTAAGGCTACTGCCCTGGGTCCTCTGGAGCAGCCTCCCCCGGACCCTTTCGCCTACTCCGAAAACACAGGGTTCCCCCCAGCCCATCCGTCTCCTGTACCAACGTCAATGTCAGAAGGAGGTACTCACCACTTCACTTGCGGAGAAGTTCCTTTGCCCACTCCTGGGCTGTGGTAGGAGCATAGAGCAACTTCTTCTCATCAGCTGTCAGAGAACAAAGCTATCAACCAACATTTTGGAAGATGGTGAGCATTGCCTTATTTGTCACCTAAAACCGGCCAATCCTTGTCATCTCTGCTCCACGAAACTATTGTTTCCCAGGCTTTGTATTACACTGGAGTTAGAAGAAGAAAAAGAGGCTGCATGTACATGATCTTTTTGCAAAAAATCCCCACAACTGTAACGCTGAATAAGCAAGATGTCAGCCAGAAAAGAGAAAAGGTAGTGGTATGGAAAGACAAGTTGGATGAAGCAGTCATGGTATAAGTCTGTACAGCTGCCCAGTGGAAGCTAAGACAACATATTCAGATGCGAGCCCAGCTATCCAAAATATGGCCCATCAGACATTGCGGAGACATCACCATCTGGCCTGATGAATCGAATCACTCCTGAAAGGCAACTGGACAATTTGGGGACATAACTGAGCCTTTACTAGCTCACTTAGGAGGCAGAAGCCCTGGGGTTTAGGTGTCTAGGCAACTTGTTAAGACTTTTGTGAATTCAGACACCCAAGTCTTTCTTGTTTTACTTCTGAAAATTTGGCTCTTATTTCTTAAAAATATTCCAAATTCTCGCGCTCTTTCTCTGAAGAATAACAACAAAAAAGGAAAAACTAACAAACAAAACAGTAACACTAGGAAGCTAGATTCAAACCGTCATTTAGCACTCGTATAGCACTTCACCAACAATTAATAATTTAACTTTGCTGTATTTACTCACACTACTTATCCCTTATTCACCTGTATGAACAGCATTCAGGCAACCTTGATCTGAGAAAGGCTCATGAAGGTAAGCAATTTAGGCCAAAAAAATGAGCTGGTTGTTTTAGTTAAGTAGTAATTCTATTTTTGCCGAAATAGGTCCAGTTCTAAAAGTCTTATTTTGAACATGACAACATCAACAATTACTAATAACAGATTTTTTACATCAGGATTGTTAGAAGTTAACAGCTCATGCAGCTATGTCTAAACGGGTACGTTTCTCCAACCTTCTGGGAGAAATGCGTAGGAAATAGGGGAGTGGGAAGGTACCACCAGCAAGGAGCAGTTTGCAATGGTGCTGGCACCAGAAGGAGGTGGTTGGTCAGGGATGGAGACCACCTGACAAAGTCATGGCTTGGAGTTTCCACCTACGCAGTTTAGAAAATACAAAAAGTGGTGGCTGAAGGTTGCTGGGAACCACATCACCTCCCACACTGGAGTCCATGCTCAGATGCTAAAAGGCGGTACCAGGGCTGCCAGTAGCCACAAGCTCCCCTGGCTCCATTTCTCTGTGTCGCTTAACCACCGCTTCCTCAGTGTGGCTCCACGATGCAGAAGGAGAAATTATCAGCTGGAGAATCGTTGCTTTACACAACGGCCCAGGGATGGCAGTACCCTAGCAGGAAATGCCGCAGGGCACAAATTTACACAGCAAGGGATTAAAACACAGCGTTTCAAAGCCTGGTCTCTCCCCAGCTCCCTGGGCGATACAGGTGCATATAGTTTCTCCAGTGCAAAGACTGGGCCCAGTACTGTGCTGAAATCATAAAATGTTCTACATTTCCTTATACGATGCCCCAATATCACAAGTGTAGACTCAGTTTGCAGAAATTTCATTGGATCAGCCCTTCAAAGTTTACAGCTTTTTCACCTTTTTTTTTTTTAATAAATAATGTTAACACTTGGACTCCAAACTCTCCATTTATGTATTGGAATAAGCACAGGCAGCTTTTCAAAGTCTGGTGTATCTCACAGCTCATACAGATTTCGCTTGGCCAGCACTCTTCCAAGACAGTACTTTAGATGAATCCGTTGGATACTAACATATTTCGATGTCTATAAATGGAGTCACGATATAACTGTAGGCAACCTTTCCTTTTCCCTTTTTTCTTTTTTTTTTTTTTTTCTTTTTTAAAAGAAGCCTTGGACAAAGGCTTTTTGAAAGCAAAGGCCTCGGCATACTTTTCTCCCTGCAGTAAATGTATTATGAAAGTTAACATATTTCTATTAGCTTGACTGCCTCCAGATTTTTGGCATGCCTTGGGACAACTCTATTTTTAAACTCTTAACTGTGCACAGAGAACTTGATAGAGAGGTTTAAAATTTGACCAGGCAGTATTACTACCAAAATGTTTTTTCAAATGCATGAACATTTCAAGGATACAAATGATTTTGCAGATCTCAGCCAGAGGAATTATTCAAAAGTCAAAAGTTTAGGCTACTGGTAGAAAATAATGTAAAGCTGTAGAATGCCACAAAAAACAGTTCTTACTTTCAAATAATATAAATCTGAAGTTAATTGTGCACATCAAATCTTAATGTGAATGAACTGCAGGGAATTAAAGACTTTGGAAGACTTATAATCTTCTTTAAAATTGCCTGACTAAATTGCTGACTTGATTTTGCAGAAGCAAACCTACATTAAATAGCAAAGAATATTAAAAGCTACCCAAACAGTCAGTCCCGTAAGCCTTGGAAAAACACAGGGGTCACAGCAGCACCGTGCAAAGCCTTGAAGCCTGGAGTGCAAGAAACCCATATCTACAAGATTTGGAAGACCTGAAGAATCTTCTTCTGCCCACTGGTTCTCCTGCATCTCTCCACCAACTCCTCCGCCCTCCCTGTCCATTTTCCAGTCTCCCCAACCCCTCCCTTACTGCCTCCCCTTATCTTCCCTCTCTCTGTCATTCCTCTCCCCCCACCATTAACTCTGGCTTAGCTCCCTGCCTTGTGTTAGTCCGTCTGCCAACGCTGCGTCTCCTCTGCCCTCCCGCTGCCCATTGCTCAGCAGCCCCCAGCATCCCCTCTGCGCAGAGCGTGAGATGCCTGAATAACAAGCAGCGTGCCAAAGGCAGGGCTCAGCCAATGCAGGAGGAACCATATGGCATTAGCCACAGGTACAAGCCAACCACAGCTTCTTCCAAAGCAAAAGAAGGGGAAAAACAGGGACGGTGTTAACACGACGTCATTTCTGAATCTGACCACGGCGGCGTTGGTGCTGTTCCTCCCGTGGTGCGCGTCGATGGAAATCGAAAGGCACAATTGCTCGAGGTCTGAGAGACCTCATCACTTCAGCAAGGCCCAGTCTGCACTTGCAAGGCAGCAGTATTTCCATGCAGGATCATTAGTAAAAACACTAGCCCTAGTCTGCCAGTAGCAATGCAATAATTCATACTCTCACAGCTGCCACATTAGCATGTTGACGTAGGATGCTTTCAAATGCTGTTTTAAAACCAAAAGCAATCTAGCTCATATATAGGCTCAGGATAATATTCCCTTTTCATTTGCTCCTGCCTCAGTTTTTCTGGCAATCTGTGACTTCTGTTGCTGAAATACCAATCAGAAGTATTCAAATATCAAACTGTAAAAAAAAAAAAAGGTCATAATTACCTAAACAACAGGTCAGATTAAATAAAACCTACAATTACTTAAAAATGAGGGGAAAATAACATCCTCAGGAGTTTTTTTGCCTTTACACTTGTTTTTAATAGTTTTGAATGAGAACTCTCGCCTGCACACACATCTAGCTGTCAGAAACGGTGAGTGGATATGTCAGCTTAGTACTAGCATACTTGAAATCAGGACTTGAGAAGATTAAATCTCTTCTGGACATTTTAAAGAGGTAGTTAGTCCAGACAGTTAGAATACCATGAGATTAGCCTAACCCATTTGCTACCACTTACCCCCTTCTTAAAAGTACAGATTTTACAGATATTTTAGGTGAAATGTTTTAAAAGATGCCCTTGTCTTACAAAGACCCTTAAAGCCTCAAATACACGTAATGCATATCCAACAAAAGGATCAAGTGCCTTCACTCTACAGAACTTGAAGCAGGATAATGTATTCCTCAAGAATTTTTATGCCTTTAGAAAAGTGCTACATAGGGCTATTAATCTGGTAACATGACTAAGAATTGGAATTTTAAAACCACATATTCATATTTTCCTTCCCCACCACAATCTTATTTTCTCCATTAAATTAAGGTAAATTAACTATTTTACTTTGTGGAAAATTAACAACTCCCATGTGCATGACTATAAACTTAACTGGTTTTATTGCTGCAAGATTTTAGTGAGGTACCACCACCAGGGAGAAGGCGGAATAAAGTGAGAGGCGTTTTTTATCAGCGTGGTTATTGCCATGAACACACAATCTCAATACACAAGCCCATAAAGGAAGTAAAAGATAACAGCCTTTGCAAAAGCACACTCAATCAGCTACTGCAAGTTTGACCACAATACCTTCTAGTTATGTATCACACCTACCGTTTCTTAAATGATGCTAGAAAGCGAAGACGCAGCAGTTACACCACCACCTTTCCTATTAACGGCATGATGTGGGGTGGGCAAATCATTTCACCCGCCGGTGTTTGCTTCCCAGCCCACCACTGCTCAGCTGGTATATGTGAAGCATAAACCCTTCCCTCTTCCTTACTGTGGATTTGAGGTTTACTCAGAACAAAGAGATCCACTTCCATGATACCGCACCCTTACAACTACTGACAATAACACATCTGTCTCCAGCAAATAAGTTAAGAAAACGTGCTTTAAAAATACAAAAAAGGCTATATTCTATTTTTCCCCAAAGGTTACTCCAGCTTCTACCAATATCACCGCACAGATGAAAACCCAGACTATGGAAGCTGATGGAGGTACACAAGCATAAAAACAGCGAAGACATGCACCCAAGCCCATCATTTTATAGCACAAATTATTTACTTGAGTTCTTATCTGGAAGCCTGTCTATCTTCCATACAACAGCCCTGTAGGCACTCTCGTATTTTGCTGTTCCAACCGAGACTTGTATTACGGGATCAGATTCAATCTCGTGTAAAGAGCCTAGGCATGCTCTCCTATTCATTTTCGCTTTTAGGGACTTCTGTCTCTGAAGGTTCATGGTCCAAAGTGCTTTGACCCACTGCGTGGGAACAGGAAAGAGTATCATAATGTTTTCACAGTATTTCACAGAGGGTAAACGCGTTGGGATGGATGACATGTTTATAAAAGCCTGAAGTTCAACATATGCCCCCTGAACAACTACCACAGCCTTCACAGAAAAGGGAAGGTCTTGCCCATTATACCGTGTCCTGAAACGCATCAGTTCCAGCCTACAGGCATCCGGGGGCGTAAACTTAATGATTCGCGACTGCTCGAATTCCCACGCTTTGACACAGTTATGGAAATGGCAATCGAGAATATCGATCCATTTCTTCTCGTCCTCCTTCTCGAAATATCGCTCGTCCCTCTTCTGGAGCTCCACGTCGTTCAAGGTTAGAAAGCAGTCGGCACTTCCGTTCACAAAACACAAGCAGTAAATGTGCGTGATGACGGCACTTTCTACGAGTTTTCCTTCTGCCTTCGTGACTTTTCCCCAAAAGTTATCCACTATTTCCAGAGTCATTTCTTGTTCTTCGTAATTCCTCTTTTGTCGAGAAATAGTAGGAAGTTTCATCAGCTCTTCCTCGACCGTTACGAGGAAATCGGTGAAGTCGTTATAATCTGTGGTGCCCAGCTTTAACATCTGCTCAATCTCCGGCTCATGGATCACTTCTGCTTTGGGATGATACCTTCTCTTCTCTGTGTAAGACACGCACTCGATCTTCACAGTATGGATTTTTCCTGAGACATTGTAGCTCTCTAATTTGGGTTCAGACAGCTTGCAGTGTGCTTGCAGCTGGAATTCCTTGAAAGGCTTCTCCAGGCCCTTTTCATAATACATCTGCAGTACACCTCCGGGTAGGACACTGAGGTAAATAGGGCCCCATTGCCGAGAAGACATCATGTTCTTCTTTTCGGGAATCCTCAGCATGAACGGCCAGCCATCGGCTTTCCGGCTCCTGAAGAGGCTGCGTGGGATGGCGGGGGAGAGCTGGTGCCACGCGTGAGTGCTGGAGACGGGCGGGCTTCCCGTGGCGTCGCAGCTATCAGCTTGCAGGTGTTCAAGCCTCTCGCAGATGTAGCTGAAGGAGCCCTGGTTAAGGCTTTTCTGATCATGGCAAGTTTCTTTGTCTTTAGGATGACAGACGCTCCTGTCGAGTGCTTTGTCCTTCCTGTGCATGCCAACGTTAGCTGGGGACGTGCTGAGCGAGCATCCTTCCTTCCAAAAGGGGCTAGAAAAAGCACAGTTGTTCTGGAAGTACGGGAAGCGCCCCAGTGCCGACGACAACTCTCCTAACTCCTCACAGCTTCCTGGTGGGTTAGGGCTTCCTTCGTCTGTTGGTTTGGAGACCGAAGTCTTAACTGGATGGTCATTAGGTGAGGTGCTCAAAGGAAGGCCGCCCAGTTTCTGCGAGGTTAGAGATGAGCAAGTCCCAGGTGATGGAAGAGGGTTAGCGTTTGATGGCCATTCAGGGATGGGATAAAGGATGTGAATCCCAGGCTTTGGGATGCAAGGACTTGCTGGGTAGTCTCTGGTAGGTGTAGTAAGTGGAGAGTTGCTGGGAGGTCCAGGACTTACGTAGAAGTCAACTACAGGAGACGAGAGTGGAGTGCTACCTGTAGAAGATGCTCTACTTGAAGACTCATGCATGCTAGACAGATTCAGTTTAAGGCCGTTTGCTTTACAACTACTCTGATTATCAATCAATTTCTGAGGCGACTGGAAGAGTGGCTCGTCATCGAAGGTGACCCAATTTGCTGGATTTGTGGAACACATCTTGCAGGAGAAACTTCAGGCACTTGCACACATATCACCCATGAACCATCTACAAAGAAACAACAGACATGAACAGAAATACATTCCCTTGAAAGACAAAACAAAGAACCCTTATAAAATTCAAACCACACAAAGCTTAAAAAAGTGTGCACGCCGTTCACAAATCCAGTGTACTTGGTGTTTTACATGTGTAATATGAGACAGCCATGTAGAAACAGCTGAACTCCCCATGAATCCCCACTAGCCTCCCAGGTTGGGGATCTAAGGGAGATCTAAGCTTTATGGGCTCTTCAGAGTATCTGATGCATGCGGCCTCTAGATCAGAGAGAGCAGAAAGTCCCACAGCTGTACAGGACCACATGCATAATACTTTCTACTACACCGCTTATCAGTAGCTTGTAATATGGATAGAGATTTCCCATTCCAGGCCTCTGCTCCAGGTGAGGTTTCCCCTCCATCCCACCATTAAACAGAACAGTGTTTTAGTAAGAACGGCGCAGCTCTTTCCAAGAACAAAATTAGGAGGATGAGGGGAGATATTTTTGTTGTTGTTGAAAAGCTGTAGCAACTCAGTGCTGATGGCAAAGGTAGACATACTACAGCTGTCAGGGCAAAACCAGCCTGCCAAGGTAACATGTGCAACGAAGGGCCAGCTCCTGAGGTCTCTCCAAGGCAGACGTTCCCCTCATGCGATGGGCACAGGCAACAGGGCGGTCGCATGAGCCCCCGTGGGCGAGAGGTAGCATGGAGCATGTTGTAGCCGTCAGAACCGGCCTGCGACTCACCACCTGCTCCATGCTGCTGTCTGAGGTGCCTCCTGCCAGGAGCGGGATGTGCAGATTGGTTTCAGGCACTTTCCAGACCTGGCCAGGAATCGCTTCACGACAGTTCCTTCAACCCTGACTTATGCTCTTAGAGACCGGACACATCAGAGTAAGGTTAGAGGCAGTGAGGAAAAGCATTGCACTTACAAACAAGGAAGAGTTAGCCCTAAGGATGAGCAATACGTCCCTGCTGAAGATGACTACAAGCATCTGCCAGAGAGAAATCACTGGTGAAACACAAGTCAAGGCCAAGTAGCAACATTCGCATCTGCTAAGCACTGAAATTGGCTGGCAGCCTGGAAAAAGTACAGGTCTTTAAACCAATTAATAAACTGCACTTCATCAAACAAAGCATCCCTGGTAAGGAGCTCGGCTAGACGTCCTCGAGGCAGGATGGCAACCAGTAAATAATTAATGTTGCCTTCGTGGTTTTAAATCATGCACTGAAACGTAAACGCTCACTGTATCCTTACGCAGGATATGTCATCCCCAAAGTTCTTCCTCCCCACTGCTCCTGACTGATGAAGAAGCGAGCAATAAATTGCTAATGACTGAGGAATCAAGTACAATGAAGCATCACGGGGCACAGACAAACATCATTCTTTTGAAAAAAAATTACTCTTGTTATGTCGGAACATATTCACATTTGCCTGAAAGCACAAGGCAGGCAGAGTTCATATAGACAAAACCACCTGCGCATATGTTACTCCGTTAATTAAGGTTAGATAATGATGACTTAAAGCCATTCCCCTTCGTGCATGCACAGCCATGGTTAGGCCATTTATTAACTGCATGGCACTACAGCATATAATCACAATAATCATATATAATCATATAACCACAAAAGCCATTCTTTATCTGTAGCGTTTAGAGAACAGTTCGTTTCGAGAGATGCCAAAGTTCAGCCAAGTGAAATCTTATGCTAGGAGCTGTTATTTTTACCATTTCCCCATTATTTCTTGGCCAGTTTATAGCTTTTAAGAAAGCACGATAACCTGTGGCACCACCCGCTCGCTCCACGGCCAAGCAAACAAGAGCTCGCAGTGGAGGAGGGCTCTGGTCCTTCATTAGCTTTTGAACTCTCGACCTTTTTGTTCAATAAAAATATTTGCACTATGCTAGTTATTTTATAAGCACTCTCCCTTCCACTTACAGAGAGAGCGAGAGAGAAAAGGAGCAAACAAGTCACAAATGACTATCATAGCTCAGGCACACACAGCTACCAGTGTATCCTTCACCCACACAATCACTTCATCAGAATAAAGCGTAGCAATGGAAAGAAAAATCACAGCTACTTGGTCTCTGACTTGGTCATCATTTTTTCCTCCCATTCCACACCCTTCTCCTCCTTTCCCTCTGGCTGCCGGCACTGCTCATCCAGCAGTATATATTGATTATTTCTAGATCGGGAAGTTTCAAGGTTTTCAGGTGGTGTTGCATCTTAACAAACCTTGTTTGTTAATGACGGCTTACGTGATGCTGACTCGGAGTGTGGCTTTTTGTGGTCACAGCCAGGACCGTGGGACCCGCTGGAAAACAGAGAGCATTAGGAGAGCAGCCTCAAAGGCTGCCATTAAAAACTCCTCTGGCATTTGCAAGAGACAAGGGACCATCAGTGAGAGAAAAAGCCCCGCTGAGCCAGGGGAGAGCAAGCCTTTCTCTGTGGAGGGGCTGCGGGGATGACGCCAGGGGACGGCGTGAAGCTCAGCGGGCACGACGGCGAGTTCCGCAGCCCGATGGGGCCCAGCTATTCGGCAGGACCGCAGCCTCGCTGAAGGGGCAGAGCACAAAGCATCGAGATGCGCGAGTGCAAAAGAAAACATAAAGTGGGAACATAAGCAAATACAAATGTTGTTTACAGTGAGGAACACATGCTACAGGCTGCTTCCCTTTCTCGTTAGAAATGAAGTTTTTCATTGTCTTTTATTATGTCCAGATGTTGATTTTTTTTTCCCCAGATGTCTGTTGCTATTCACTTTTTAAGACGTGATGTTACAGATTATTCAGCAGGTTTTTTCCCTGTTACAGAAGAAGACGATGTTTGAAATTCACCAGCCCAATATTTAACTTCAGTCAATAAATGTCTATGAGGCAAACCACTTTGGCAGATGGAGTTCTCATCTGCAGTTACAATACCCTTCACATACCTGTCAGAAGCTGTAGCTTTCACTTTATATTACTTTTCCAGAAACGTGTTTTTCAAAAAGAAAATGATACTGATGTTAACAAAAACACACATGCAAGAAGTTGAGTGTTGAAACAGATCGCAATTCCCCTACTATTGCTCACTGACCTCCAAAACTAACTACTAGGAATGGAGGGAAAAAATCCAAATGCTGGTTTTATAATATCATGCTAATAAAAGGAAATGCACCTCTTGTGTGTTACGGGCAGCACCATTCATCTAGTATTCAAAAGAAAAAACCCAAAATTTATAGTCTTACGCTACTGTATGTAGCTTGTTCTCTGATGCTGCTACATCTGCGCAACACCAGAAATTAGTCTTTTCTCTCAAGTTCTTTTTTGTTCTAAAAAGTGCTCCAATTTCCTCCTTAGGAATTAGGACATTCTTCCTCGAAATGGCTGTAAACTCAGGCTTTAGGATAGATGTGTTCTGACTCCAAAAAGCTCCTATGGGACCCACGTAAACTTCACCCAAACGTTTTGGGCAAGAGGAAAACAATACAGGATGCCATTGATCTCCGTCACCACAGATGCTATGCAGCCCATAACATTCAAATTACAAGCCCGTGTGGTATCTCGTCCAGATATGCAACAGGAAACACCATTTTTAGAATATTGAAACTGCACACAAAAAAAGCTGGCTGAAAGAACAGTTGATCCTAAATGCATCAATTCCAGTGAACCCAAAAGCTGCGACTCGTCTCAATTCATCCTCTTCTGTCTGAAAACAATCTTCCCATTTATCAGATTAACTCAGTCCCTCAGCACTTAATGAATGGTAATTGTGGCTTAATTTCTTCATTTTTAATACCTCGAGGACGTGAGGAAGCGAAATCCTATCCTGTCATTGAGAGATTTTATAGGCTGTAGCTATTACCGAGTCCTTTGTTGCTTCGAAAATCCCAGATCAAATCTGCAGCTCAACTTTTGTGCCTTGCTGGGGGATACTGTTATCTCTTCCTACAGTGAAACAGTAATAGCAACTTCCTACTCACTCCAAAAGGTGTTGACTTTGGTACTTTTAATCCAAACACGGCTTGGTCCTCAGCTAGCTGAGGATGCTGACCCGTCGTCCAGCAACGTCCCCACCACCCTGACGCCGGGGCCTCGCATCGCCTCCTCCACGGCAGGGACAAAGCCGCATCCGAACCGGCACAGCCACCCGCGAGCAAACCCCCCGAGCGTCGCGCTCCCGGGGTCTTCCCTAATGTTTGGCACCAGTTAAAACCCTCAGGCACATCCCTGCGGACTGAAACACAAAGGTCCTTTTTTCAAACACTGAAGGAGCATGGGGTCAGCTAATGGGGAAAAGCAGGGAAACACCTCCCTTCTGCAGAGCGTAAAGCAAGTGAATGCAGTGTTTAACAGACGGTACTCAGATTCCAAAACACACAGAAAAGCACAGTTTTATTAAAACATTCCTTATTGCCTATCTAGCTCCAGAGGCCATTGTGGCTTCAGAACTGTGAAGTCAGACATCCTCTAGACAAATGCGCTTTGTAACATGCGAGCCGCTTCCATGGTGGAGTCCTACTGGGCAAACACCAACCTCACAAATTGTTTCAAGCTCAAAAAAAACGCAGATTTACCTACACACAGTGCAACAAAACAGTTAAATAATGCCTTCAACGTCAGCTGAGCTCTTTACACAAGCTACTCCACTTGTGGACAACGCCTGGCTGCTGTATGTCCACCGCTCCAGCATGACTACAGGCCCCATACACTACTAAATGTCAATTCTATTTCCAGAAACAACATCATCCGTTACGCATACGTTAAATAGAAATTTAATGCAAAATTCTACATAAATGGTGCAGTGAGGCTGTCCCATAACGATACCATATGAGTTGTTACTGTTTCTTGCACAAATACGTAGAAATTCTTCAAGCATTTTGCCATAAAGTGTAATAGTCTCACAGGAAACTACAAGTTCTCTGCAGTTTAAGCAATAAAGCACATATGGTATATAAAATACCCTGAACATCTGTAAGC